AAGAATATTTAATAGAAGAATTGTATACAAATTATTACAAAAAAATTATTGAAATCGCAATGAAGTAAAAATGTCAAATAAAATTGTTTGTGGTAATTTAACAATTTAATGACATATCAGTGGTTTTCCACGCGCTTAACCCCATAAAGCGAGGGTAGGATGGAGAAATCCGATTGAGTGAGACAATAAAATTGGATTTGTCTTATATAATTAAGCTGATAATCAAGTAATAAGCCACTTGCGAATTTAAAACAGTAGTTTTCTTTTGTCGAATATAGAAGTATTTGTAAATATACTCTGAACAATTACAGCTGCTATGATTCATAGTTTTGCAGTTATGAGCGCATTTGTAAGAAGGCACAAGATTTTTGATAAACATTTCGATTAATTAAGTACTTTGTATTGTAAATTTTTTCACATAAACGACATTTAATTTTGTAAAGCCGCATTTTGTCAAAAATCAAAATTTAAACTAGTCATTCGATCATTATTATTACCAACTATAGTACTAACAATTTGTTTGTTTGTTTTTGCATCAGAGATAATTTTAAACAGAAAAATCTTCGTTACCGTCAGAAACATTTTCTCGAAGCTCCTCCTGGAAATCAGCTACGGGATCAAGGGAAATTTACATAGCTCACAATAGATTAGCGAGTAGAATTACATACAGTACATATACCGTCTAGGAAATACCGAATATCAATGATAGTATGTTTAGTGGAACTAGTTAAAATTTTATAAAAATATTAAGTTTAGAGTGTGTCTGAAAAAGCTGTTATTAATTTTTAAAACCTTAGCTTAATGTGCAATAAATTATAATTTTCATCATTTTGAATAAAACAAGCGGAAACCACGTATTTAAATATTTTCAACAATATCAAAATGTATCCACGTTTATATGGCAACCACCTGTCTTCCATTTCCGTTAGAAAATATAATTGTAACTAATCTTAGCGGATGCAACCCTAATTACTTGTTGCGCTTTCCTTCTTCCTGCTTTTGTTTTCTCAAACGGTCAATTTTGACAGTTTGTGCCATAAATTCAATCGCGTCTTGAATTCGTTGCATTGCATTTTAATTTCAAAAAATTGTTATTAATATATAGTTAAATGTTAAACAAACTTTAAAAAAATGAAATATAATTGCCGGTTATGAAAGTGTGTGTGTTTTTGACTACAAATGTTGCAATTTAATGCAGTTTTCTGATGCAGAAGTTGGCGCATCTCCCTCGCTATAGTTGCGTGTAAAAAAATATTTTTAAGTGCGTGTTTGCGTTTATTGAGTGTATATATTTTTAATGTGATAAGTTTTTGCAAGTGAAATTAAGATTATTCTGTAATAATAGAGTTTCTAATAGAATATATACATAAAAATAAAAATGAACGAATAAATTTTAAAGAATGTGTAATGTTGGAGCATATTAATGCATATTGTATATATTTTTCTGGCTAATAAAGTCAAAACTTGGAGATTATGTATCAAAATATACATAAATGGTAAGTGAGCATGTATTGAAATATTAAATACCTTTATTATTAAAAATTTACTGAAATTTTGATGACCTTTCTCACAAAATTTACTGGAAGTTACTTCTATCTCAAGCATTATCAAATCAAACACCGTTAGAATGGTGTCGTTAGATATCTGAATGATATTCCGATGAAATTTAAATTATTTAAGTGTTAGTTTGTTTGAAATAAAATGTTGAGAAAAAATTGTTAACCAACGAAATAATTGCGCAAACAGCTCTTATAAAAAATAAAGAGATTTTATTTTTTATTTATATATATAAATTTGAGCCAACATTGTAGTAAATATGTTCTCCTCCAAACAATTCAATAATCAAAATGATTGATGGTATATAAAAATAGAGGTTAAACAAAGATCGCTTTGGCAACCATGATTACCAGCGAGTGGATTAAACTTTTTATATAACCAACGTGCTAAGGCGTAGGTAGTACCAGGACTTCCGAGTATTGATATACAATCTTGATATATTATTTGCTTCTCAGATAATTTCAAATAATTAGGCAAAGTGTGCAATAAGTCACATCAATTGCGCTTTTCATTTCAAAAAGCAATACTCAATTTCTAGTTAAACATTGACACAAACCATTTGGTTAGCTTAGCGCGCCATCTGTATATCAGTTTTACGGTAGATGAAATTTTAGAAATAACCCAATATTGCCTTGTCATCCCTACAGGCGCTCTACAATGCACCAACACACTCAGCACATAAGCGTAGCTCCGCCCATCCTGCACATTCCCCAATTGCAAGTGTATGAGTGCGAACACACAGTCATACGATTTTTTTTTATTTTCGTGATTTCATATTCTACTGCTTTCTTTGCAGCTGCTTCATCTTCATATTCAGTGCATCTCGGGTTATATAGGCAGCAACAGCAAGTACACACACACACACACATTATATATCTGCGAGTGGTGCTGAAGATGTCTGTGCGCTGCTGTCTACCGACGGCAAGACGACGTTAGCTTACTCATTGCAAAATGGCTGAATTCCTGTGCTTGCTGTTATTGCTGTTGTACACATACATACATACTTGTATTTAGGTACACTTGCTATTTGGCTGAGTGGGTATTTGTATTTGTGCATACTTGTAATTGTTACGACAGTCGTGCGTGTGTGTGTAAGTGATAGCTGCGGCGCACAGTCGACTGCGTGACGTTGGCGGGGGTGGGGGCGAGCAAAGTTGATTAGATGGATTTCGTTTGGTTTTTGTGTTTTTAATCACACACCAATTTCATTTATTAAATCTTCGCATCAGCATTTCTCCAACTGCAGTCGACGCAGCAGCAGCAGCAGCACTGCCGACTCAGCTCGTCTCGCCTCATTCCAATACTTCTTCGTGCACGTTGTAAATAAATGTGTGCACGTCGGTGCCTGCATATAAGATGTCTTTTTGCTCGTTAGCTCCTGCTTTCCCGTTGGTTGCTCAGTTAGTTTGCTTTTTGTAAAAGACTTGTTTTTGGCTTTTGATTTGTTTTTCTCGTTTTTAATTTCGGCTTTCCGTATTATTTTTTTGTTTTCGTATTTGTTCTTACTCTTTATTGTTCTTACTCGCATTTGCTGTTGTTGGGTTTTAGTGTCACAAGCAATTTGCTGCCAGAACTCAAAGTTGGCAAATGAAATTGTTTATAAATTAGCGAAATTGAATTAAAAGCGAAAAAGGAATTTTATGGCATCTGTGTGGGGGAGAGAAATGTTGCAAATTAAAATTCTCGCATTTAAGTTAAATTGAAATAGGCGATATGTTGTTATTGTAGGTTATGGGTTATTCGATTGAAATGCGAGCGTCAATTCGACTTGTGGCTGTTGAAACTTGAAGTAGAGCTTGAGGGTTTGTGAACAACGTAATATGTGGAAATTATTGAAGATGAGTGTTAAGAATATCAAAAAGAAGGCGAAATACCATAAGCATGCACTTGGAACTCAGCAAAGTAAATTAAATCTTCACAAAATAGTTTCTGCGGTCCTTTATAATACAAGTAGTTCGTCCGAGTTTTTCGTCAAATTTGTTGGTGATTGAATTCATGTTAAGCTCGAAAGCGATAATCAGACAGCCCGAAAGGGTTCCAAACATTTAATATATAACTATACGCTATGCAGAAGGAAACGTCAGAGACTCTATAAATTATATATACATATCTATAAATGATCGGCGTGACGAGCTAAGTCGATTTAGCCATTTAGCCATGCACATCTGTTTGTCTTTTTATACCCGAACTAGTCCTTCAGTTTTTGAGATATCGTTCTTGCACACGTTTTTTTTTTGTCCCCAAGCAGCTACTCATTTGTCGAAACCGCCGATATCAGACCACGATAGCATATTTTATTACTGACCGATGAAAATCATGCCACTTTTCCATTAGACAAGATATCTTCACGGAATTTAACATAGATTATTGCCCAAGGCAGCGCTTCAAGCTCCGAACATATTGCGCAGATCGAACCCTTATAGCATATATGGTAGCTGCCATACAAACTGACCGATTAAAATCAAGATAAAGATCTTTTTATACACTTTTATGCTATAAGAAAGGCAAGTGTGAAGAGTATTTAAGAGGGGTAAAATCATCATGTCGTTGGACCACATGAAAATTAAAGAATGGTGTAGATGGATTTCCTTGATCATTTAGGTATCTTAGACATGTTGGCTGTTATATCTATAAGGCGTAAAATCAAGTGATTCAAATTCCATGCTTCGATTTTTCCGTAACGTTTTTTTCTGTTTCTCATCGAATCTCAGTGGCTCTCAACTGTTCTTTCCGCTTTTCCTCAGCTCTATCCACCTCTCACCGATTCTCTTGTACCTCTCTGCAGCTCGCCACCTCCAGACTGTTTTCAAGAACTTCAGTTTAGTAGCTTAATGATAACTAAGTTCTGGCGTTTGTAAATTTTTTCAACCAACGGCAATTTATAGGCGTTTTATAGGCAAGGATCCAATTCTGTCCTTGTCCAATAACAATCTCTTCAGAGCGCTTATCTTCAACAAGATATCTCATTTTTTACTTAAGTTTACTCAAGCTAGCTCACATCGATATCTGAAAGCAAATTCGTGTCAATATACTTGTACAGTTCTTTTTGAGATTTATATCTCTAGATCTATCTTACTTGAGTAAAACTATTATACTCTGATGCAATACGTTGCAAGGTTATAACCTTAATTTTTAACTAAATATTTAGCAAATACTAATAATAATATGGGTGAATCGAAAAGTAGGCCTTAACACCTGATTAAGCGAAATTCTAAGGAAAGCTGTTTAAATTTAATAAAGTCCAAGCACTTTACAAGATTGAGTGTATTTTATTAGTCAGCGTTAAATATTATATCATGAACCGAGCTTAAAGCTTCAGAAAAATTGCCGAGTCAACACTTTGATGCACCACCAACCAAAATGAGCAACAATTTTCTAGAAAATATTTTTGTTACCAACCAAAGTTACGTCACCCAACCAGTAATTAAAAATGATAACTCAAATTTTTATATGCTTTAACTTTTTTTCTATATTCTTTTCAATAAAATAATTAACTGCATTCACAGCTATTACATATCGCCACACATTAGTCCGCTAGAGTATACCTTTGTACTTTGCCGTTATCCTCGTTGCTACACAATTTAGTAGACATAAGCTGGAATGGGCGCTGTGTAGGCACCAGCTGAGGCGTATGCTGGAGCGGGGGCTGGACCGGCACAAGCGACTGGCGCCAAATTGGGTTGACAGCTGAAGAGGTAGTTCTTGGCGCAGGGAGGAGCTGGAATATTAACGGCACCACCACCATAAGCGGATTTACGGAAACGTGTCAAATCGTAGGCGGACTGAAGGTTCACAGCTTGTGCGTTTTGATCGGCTTTGGCTTCTTGTTCGGCGGCAGCAGCGGCACCGCTATTGCCTGTGGGACCGGCCAATGCAACGCTGAAGATGGCGGCGAAGATAGCAATGCAAACGAAGAATTTCATTTTGATTTGGTTTTATATAGTGTTTATGTAATAACTTTAATTGTGAAGCTACCGTAGTGAACTGATGATTGCAGACAGCAAGCGGCGGGTCTTTTATACTAGCGGCAGACCCCACGCATTTACACGGCTGTGGCATTTTTCTGCTGCTGCTAGCGAAAATAATTAAATAAAACATACGAAAATTGTTTTGTTGTAATGCCTATATTTTGCCGAGTTGTGATTTTGGCATTAATGTATATGGGTGTGTAAAAAGTCGCACCGGTAGTAACCTGATTTTTGTTGTCGAGGTTCGGTATATGCCAAAAATCGTTGACAGGCTTTTATTTTAAGGTCGTGCTAATCGAAATCAGGTTAGATGTAGGTCCATTTTATCCATGACCTGGAATTTTTTTTGGTGTGGGAAAATGTGTGGACAGTTTTATTAAAATATTTAAAATATTTTATTGTACAAAAAATATAAATTTTTTAAATTAATTTAATTAGGCAAAATATCTCGAAGACTTATAATAAATCAAAAGCTTGAATATTATTACTAAATTTTATATTATTATAATATTTTTTGTTTACATTTTAAGTTTTTTTATTAAGTGTATTTTTAAATTATCTTTATTGCAAGCATTTTTTTTCAAACATTTTTTATAAAAAATGTATGCCAAAATTTATGTGCCAAAAATATTTATGCGGATCATAAAGAGGTAGCTTAAGAGTGTAAATTATTTGTTAACGAATATGTTAAATTTCTTTCCTTAATCATTTTTATTTTTAATTTTGAAAAAAAAAACCGTTAGTAGCAGCTTTCTTGCAGCTACCTACGCATTTTTCGTCAGTTGTTTTTTTTTATAATATTTAATGATATATTCGACTAGTTTGGATGATAATGTGGAAACGCAGTTTCTTTTTCAAATATTTAGATTAAGTTTATCACGTTTTGGATATATCAAAATCGATCACAACTTACTGCTGCAGCCATCTATTGGCAAACAGCGGAAATTTAGTTGCAGTCATATAAGCACTCAGTCCACTTTTACTTTGACTCTGCAGACAACTTCGCTTATCTTAGAAACTCCAGCAAATCTAAGGCATTCCCGAAGTTATTTATTAATGAAAAGGTTCACAAGCAAGTGTTTCTATGAGTTGATTAAACTATTTAAAAGTAAGGTTCAAACTCTAATAAACATAGTACACACTGGATATCTAATCACAGTTTTTCAAGTAAATACTGAAGGTAGGTATATAATGTTAGCACGTCATGAAAATGTGAAATATTCTGCGGAAGTTTAAATGATCTTTACATTTGTGATTGAAGGACATTTTCAAATGATGGAACCTTATAACTAGCTATGTTATTACAGATCTCTGAATAAAGAACAACTCCCTTGCTCCATTAATATAATCAACAGGTAAGAGGTTAAGGCGTCACATCCATATATACTGCATTTATTATAAAAATATATATTTATAAGAAATTAAATAAATTTCACACATAATCGACTCATCAATTAACTATATCGCAAAAATATAATATAGTCGACCCAATTTCCAATTCATTCAGTATATTGCAAACTAAACGCTTAACCGTCTTGCTTACTACGGCACAGCGAAACCGTTCAGTTTATACCGAAGCAAAGCAAAAAATGCAATTCTACTAAACTCAGCCCACACTTGAATTCAAAAAGTTTTGCTTAAATGCGTGCAAAGTAAGTGCGTATATGGGCTATGCAAAATTATAATATTTATTGCTCGTGCTCGTTATCTGTCTGCTTGGATTTAAACCAAATCTTAAGACGAATTAGTGGATTCTTTTCCAAGTAAAACTGCTACCAGATTTCTTTGTGTGGCTATAGCATGGTTTAAATTTGTTCAAAACTTATTTCTTGCAAGCGAGGAGTTATGCTACTAACAATAAAAGCGCTAGAGTAGAATATGCTTTGACTTCCAGAGACTGTACTAATACTTACTGCATTAATTCTCTCTTTACTTCACAACCTTCCTGCAAAACCTATTCCATTAATAGATTTCATATAAGGAAGTTGTTATTAGCAGGATGATTGTTGTAGATTTCGTGTCGTTTTGCGACCTTACACAGTTTAGGACAATATTTGATTTTATTATTCAAAATGATTGTGAATGGTGCGCTGGTGATTAGAAATGATAGCTCATCTAAACCGTTCGAGTTTGATACGATTGCACAGTTCCAAAAATTACTCAGAATCAGCAGGTCTATTACTTTTTCTATGTGATTTGCTATCGAGTGTCAGCTAACTCGTCAAGCTTCATTTTAAAGTCATACAAATGCAATTTTTCTAGTTTTCGTTCGCAACTCGCTTTTTTACTCAAAAAAAAAATCTATTATGTATCGCAAAAACAAATTATTCGACCATTATAAAATCTAAATATAGTACTTATTTAAGCTACCATTGTAAATACAAAAATAATTTATTTGTTGGAAAATATTAACTAATAGGTGTTAATTTGCCTTCCATCCACTTAGTTGAGCTTCATAAAACCTCAGCCAACTTACGAAATTTTTTTAATTTTTATTGAAAAAAATAAACGAATTCCGAAGGTTTACCTTTGCGTATATATAATTTAAATTTTTTTAGCAAATAAAATATTTTAAATCGAGGGTTTCTTTAACAAATATGTTTTATTGCTTACTGTTTGAAAGTTATACAATAGTAATGTCATTTAAAGCAGGAGATTATGAAAACTTTAAGTGTTATTGAAATATTTTACCAAATTTCTTCAGATATAATTGGCGGTTTCAGTTTTACACTTAAGTTATAATATTTAACTATATTTCGACTGCTAAATATTGTTAGATTCTTCATGTTATAATATTGATTGCTGAATAGCTTATTATTATGATAAGATTTTTTATTTTTTTTTTTAAATTTTTTTAGCCGAATCGAATCAGTCAAATTGTTTCGTCAATGCTTTTCCAAGGCTAAATGTATCGCTGCTATCAACCATTAGCTCTATATTCGCCATTATTTCTGACTTTTTTCACTTTTATTGTTGATTTAAGAGGTAATAGATTTTTTTCAGTATTAATTTTTTTTCTAAATTTTTATTATTTATTTACTTATTTATTTTTGATAAATACTAAAAATTATTGTACGTCTCGCTGGGAACTATGGGCGAGTACAAATATGCAAGTTCCAATGTATACATAAATAGACTCGAAGTGGCGAGGGTTTTAAATTTTTGTTTAATTAACGGTTTTTTATGTTAATACAAATATGGAAACTTATAATCATTAAATAATATTTTTTAACTTAGTATTGGCCAAAATGGCGTTTATAATAGCGAGATTTGTCATATAGAAGTCAAAAAATGTTAGGTACGCTTTGAAAATCGAAATTTTCGTAATTTCTATTGAAAACATATATGAATGAAATATCACTAGAAACTATTTCGTAAATTTCCAGTGAAGCGGTTGCGGTTTTTCTAAGTATTTGTTGAAGAACTGAATATATAGAGACTCTCAAATTGCCTGACATTTGATGTTGTAATTATCTCTCTTCAATGTTTGCAATAAATAGCTACTCAGAAAGTCTTTCTTTAGAAAACGTAGAAGAAATTAACATAAGGATATGACGCCTTGAGATATGCAACAATTTTAAAATTTTTTTTTTTAATACCCTGAACAGGGTATATGCGCCTCATTTGTTGCTACCGCCGATATAGATCACTATAGCATATAGCTGCCATACAAGCTGTCCTTGTATGGGAAACATTTTTATTTGACAAGATATTTTCACGAAATTTGACATTAATTATTGCCCAAAGATCGGAACGATCGAAATCAAGTACTTGTATAGAAAATTAGCACATTAGCTGTAATATCCAAACAAATTTTTCAGATCGGATCATTATAATATACAGCTGCCATACAAACCGACCGAACAAAATCAATTTCTTGTACATACATTTTTTTTTTATTGGTGAAGTGTAGCGGTGCAACCTGCGTTTTTTTTTGTTTAACATTTTTTTTGCGATTATACTCACATATGTGGGTGGATCACAGTTCCGAGTTATTATTGTGTGAAAACATATCTTAAAACACTACAAAAAAAAAAATACTCAGCGGCTACTCAAAGCTAATTTGCTTAGTCAAATATCTACGAAGTGATGTTATTATTAATTTTTTTCACTAGCCTCGGTTATATACCAGGCTTGGCCAGTTTGATCGCAGCGCTTCCCTACTTTCTTTCAATGCTTCCTCTATATGCAGCCATTGCATTAATCCAACTCACCATCCTTGCCGCTGCACGTAGCACAAAGACGCAGCTGTGGCTATGGTGGCCAACTACAACAACAACAATATATACTATCAAATACAAACACACACATACACAGATTTGCAGTTGCCGCGCTCACTCACACATTTTACGGCAAGGCGTGTGCCGCGCTCACTCACACACATACACTATAACAGCGTATTTTTTTATAGTTTTTGTAGTTGTTGTTGTTGTTGTTTTTTTTTTGTTCACTGCTGCTGTAGGTGGTATGAAATTGATGTAATTTATATGGGCACTTGACTGGCTAAATTGCCTTTCGAGGAAATTTTATATTCTACTTAAGTTTAATGGAAAATAATTAATTTCATACCGACTGAGTTGTGAGCACGCGAATTTTTCTTACATACATACATACATATGCAGTATACATATGCATGTGTGAGTGTATGTATGTATGCTTAATGCAGATAACTCCAGTACACTTTGACGCCGATGCTGCTGTTGGCCCACAACATGGCGGGTGGGGGGCCCGAAACCGTGCTGTTGAGGCCAATAAGTTATTGCAAGTGAAATTGCGCTGCTCCATTACTCTAGCGCCGCATACAAACGTGTGCTACAGCATTTACACAACTTGTACAAGTTGCTTATAAAGCGTAAAGCAGTTGACAGGAGCGAATGTAGAGTGTAAAGCGCAGGCACTGGCCTTAAATGAACGATGCGCTTACATTTCTGCTTTCAATTTACAAAATTGGTTACTTTGGTGCGCCGCTAAAATCACTGTGTGCGTGTGTGTGTGGTACAGTTAATGTGCTTGGCGCTGCTCATGGTCGCAGCCGCA